CGCCGGGATCAGTCGCGAGTACCACTCTTCCGACACGGAAGCTGTCAGGTACCGTAAGAAATTACATAAAGCACGCCCGTGAGTATTGAGTTTTTTCTCCCCCCCCTTCCGCTTCCCGCGCCGACCGATTATCATTTCCGGCCACATTTTCAGTAAGATCGATACCATTAAGCTCGTACTGACATCAACTAACATCTTGTGCGATTGATTCGCACACGAGTGAGGGTGTTCCATTATTTTCTCTCGCTAATTGCATTAATTACTTCTAACGTTTGTATATTGTTGTGTTAATTAATTGCCGAACGATATGCGGGCTAAGTTTGATTGTTTTATCGTCGCACACAGGTACATCATGCCGACTCCGATACAGTACAAGCCTCTAGGCGAAGCGGAAGCATGTGACACCAGGAATCTGCCGTCGCCCACCAGTCCGAACAGTGCGTATTCGTCTGCCAAAAGAGGCCGCGGTAACAATTTTAATTTCGCTAAATGATTTTCGTGCGTTGCGTAGGCACAGGATGGAGCAGCGAGCCGCAGTCCTTCCTGTCTTCCGAGCCGTCGTCACCGGCGCCAACGTCGACGGGCGAATGCAGTATGTCTATAAGTTTAATCAGCAACGATGGGTGAGTTAAGACACATATATCTAGTGTATCTTTGTATATCGTTATTTCTCTTCTTAATTTTTGTGTCTTTTTTTTTTTTAGGATGAATTGATTTGATTGCTAAATTTATCCAGTCATATTTTTGTAACTGTTTTGCTGTTAGCTTATTTAGTTTCCTATCGTTAAATATAGAATAATAATAATACTAGAAATAAGTCTCTCGGTTCGCAGTGCTCAACTGTTTAACACCGCGCGGAAATACTCCCCGACTCCTTGCCTGGACGTCGATTTTAACGAATTTTGTATGCGTCTCGATGAGAACCGCGAGAGTCGCGGCAGTGTTTCATATACGGATTATTACAGCAACGAGGATGGTCAGATACGTAAATTGGCGCAATTGCCGCAAGTGATACAGTCAGGTGCCGGTAGCGCGCAGACGAAGCTCGTGTGCGGCGACGATCTTCCGTGCGACAATATCGACGACGACGAGGATCACACGTTGACTCTGAAGCAGAGCGAGGAGCAAAAGAAGCAGGACGTTAAATCGATATTCGAGCAGAGGGACGACGTTAATCCCGCGAAACTCAGCAGCAGCTACAAGAAGATCGGACGGTACGCGAGAAAGCAGTATAAACGCGATAAATAATATTGATATAAAGCGAAGCGTTAATATTTGTCGTGATGTGATCTTACTTCCAGTTTTCGTGTGGAAAGTACGGATGTATCGCGTGGCGATGTCAGATTCAAAGAGACCGACAACAACGCTTCCGACAGAGCGAAACCGCCCACGCCTCAGAAATCCGACGCTTCCACCGGGAAGTCCACCGCGGAAAAGGCGAGGAAGGACTTCAAAAAGGGCGGCAGTCCGCACACGTCTCAGAAGCGGAAGAATTTCTCGCGCTCGCAGAGCGTCACGACTCCCAAACCCGTCGCACCGAAAGTCGAGCAGAATTTCAGTTATTCGAGGCAGAGCTCATTTTCGACCATGTCTGATGCGGATCTGGAGGATTGGAAATTGAGCACACTGGATTCAACCGCGTCGCATTCGCCGAGCCAGCAAAAGGAACCTATATTAACTGTGGCCAGCAGTCTTACGGATAGCTCTAACATCACAGTCGGCTTCGATGTTAAAGAGGAGGAAACAAAATAAATGGCTGGTAAACTGATGCTAAATTTTATTCGATATATTTGATCTATTCTCGCGACGCGGTTATCAGGCGGACTGTTAAGGCTGACAAAAAAAAAACAACTTCATAGATTTTAGAAAGAGTAGCATACCTATCTCACGTGTTACCATGAAAAGAATCTTAAGAAAATATTAAATAGAACAGGGTCGTTTATTTTGGCCATTTGGTGGTATTCCGTGTTAAGGCTGATCAAAGTATACAAATCAGGACCACTCGTTTAGGATTGTAAAATTATAATAGGCGAACTTGAACCCTCATCCCCAAGAATCAAATCATAGAAATTAATCTTTAAATTGTTTCCTGACTTACAAAGATATATTTTAGCAATGCAGATATAACTACGTTAGGTGGTCTTACATAAAAAAATGTAGCGAGCGTTTAAATTTAAATTCTATGAATATTTTATAAGAGGAAATCAAAGAAATAGCCGATTAATATTAGCGAAATGAAGATTAACTCTTTGGTCTTATATTTTAATTTGCCGCGCTTTTTAATTAACTTTTAATTATAATTTAGCAAGGTTCCATTTATACATATTATATGTGTATTCGTTAAGACGATTCTGTGTAAGTGTTTAAACTTAACGGAATTGACGATCAGGAATTTTTAATCAGCAGATAACTCGGATGGCGACGATACAATTTAGTTGCTCCTAATTTTAATAGAAAATTTAGATGAATTATGTTTTGCGCAGCAATATTCCCGACTAGGATCATCGCTGTTGACTGTGAATCATTATAATTACGCGCATAGGATTAATGTTCTAGAGAGATTATTGCAGATGTACAAACGCTATTGTAGATAAACATGGCGATATGTGATATTCGTGCTTCAATTAAATATAAGGTTACATAGAGAGAAACTTAAAGAAGCCTAGAAAGAAATATGTATAGTTACTGGATTATGTTTTTATCTGTTGCAATATTGTAATAAATTGATAGTCAGATACTTAAAGTTACCGAAGGTGCGAGACTTAAAAGTGACTTAAGAGATTACGCGTTAAGTGATGCATTGAACATATGACAACGAAAATATCTCTACTCTAGAAATATCTTATTTCGTAATCGAAGATATTAGGTAGGTGTCCCTGATATTCTTTCTCTGTACAGTGATGATTATTGAAGTTGGGAGGATTTTATCCGAGCCAAAGAGTATCTTGGTTAAGCGGTGTAGCATTACGTTGTTTGAAGTTGCACAGAAGCAGCGTAAACAAAAACTCAGCGTACGAATAGCGTACGTGCAACTTCAAATCATGAATCAACGCGCGAGCAGAGGATATAATAGTTCTTTAGATTTTGACTGTACCTGTAAAATAGAAACAGCGTGCTCTAGTGATACAAATATATGTACACACATGTATACATTAAAAATGTTTTAATACAGCAATCCAGAATAAAATTCTTCTCTTGTTTTTAATATGGTTAATTGATGCTATCATTAAGCCAGCATTGTCTTATTAAAAAGAGATATTTTAACTTTATGCAGCAATAATATATCTCTAATTTTTTATGACACAAAGAATATAGAAAAAAATCAATTTCAATTTTATTTTTCGAGTTTCGATCAACTGGCCATACATTTGAGTTCATTTTAATAACGTTACAGTGCTCAAAAAATTCTGCAAAAATTTGCGTTTTATTCACAGTTTCTGAATGACTTTTGATGTTTAAAAAATTAAAAAAGTCAATCATAGTTTGCGTTCCCTTTTATATTTGTGCGAACAAAATATATCTCAGAGATTTGTGTCAATGTCTGCCTTTGTTTTCGTAGAAATAATTATTTTGCAATGTCGTCGGCGATTTTACGGCGATTATCTCCGATACTTCCTGTCTATAATTGGCTTTGCGTCAAACCGACAGAAAGGAGGGCAGAGTCAATTTGCGATTTCGGCGGACACGTGCGCGACTCTTCTGTCCTTTCGAGGGACAGCCAGCATATTGTTCCCCGGTCGATCGGTCTCTCGGAGCAGATTCTAGGGTGCTCACCCCCGAATCAATTAAATAGATATTAGCCGTGTCACTTGACACAGCGAAAGAAAGATCGTCCTTTACGCCGAGTGCGTATAAACATCGCGCGTCAAATCGGATCCCGTGTTTACCCCCGAAGTGACTTCGACGGGGGGTGCATAGTTATTAGTTGTTCCCGGCGCATCCCCCTTTCGTCTCACGACGTTTCCGCACCCTTGGAACGCTCTAATTACATCGCACGAGTGGCATATCCCCTGGTCTTTTTTTTTCCTCCAAAATCCCTCTTCGCGTTTCAATACGTTTTATGGAAAATAATATTTTGCAACAGAAATATAAGATATTGGTTAAACTCCTTCTCTTTCTTGCAATTTCATAAATATTTTTGTCTGTATAATATTGAAATCTCTTAGAATTGTAAGGTTCAAGCAACATCGGTTTGCTCCAATTCTTTTAAAGCCTTGAGAAAATTAATACAAATAAAATAAAATAAATTGTCAGGAGCATAAAGAGCCAAATACGCCGGATCTTAGTGCGATCTTAACCGGATTTTCGCACTAAGATCCGGCGTATTTGGTTCTTTATGCTTTTGACAATATTTTATTTGATTTATATTATTTGAGCTTGTATATATTTCTTATTTTTTAATATAAAATACTTTAAAATTCTGAAAATGTTTACTAAAAATTTTATATTAGATTTACACACGATTATATCAATTTCACGCGATAATATAAAATTGTAGCGACAAAATGGTAAATTCGAAGTGCAAAGAAGATATAAAATCGCGTGAAATATTTGATAAACGTGATATCCGAATCCGTATAAAATTATAAGCGCGTAGAGAGCGACGTGAATGTTTAATATAGCCGTGTTGTAATATGTTCTATATACATAACTGCAAGCTGACGCTCCGGATCGATGTTTCAGGCGTCGGCGCCGCTAAGCTTCAGGGTCTTTTGCCGTGATTTTCTGGAGCGAGTGATACGATACATGTGAAAAATCACACACAAAGATAAACATTTTATTCGTATATTCTATAAAACAAATGGATAAGTAAAATCGACTTCCTTTGACAAGAGAAATTTATTTCTGCACTTTTTAATCTAAACTTCAAAATTATTACAAACTTTTTAGTATTGAGTCTTATTTTCAGTTATTCAGTTTTTATCTGAACAGCTATAAAAAAATTATTAATCAATTTTTAAACTAAAAACTTTTATCGTTATTATTATTATATTATTACTGTTGTTAATTATTTCTTTTTCGAGAAGTAAGACATCCATTTTCACATTTAATATCACACATTTATAACTCACACACATTACACGAATTTAATTATTACTTTGAAAAGTTACATTATCAATTTGAGACATATATTTCTAGTATGCTATATTTCGGGTTACATATTTACGAAAAAATAACAAAAGTAACATTTGTTAATTGATACAGGACTCAAAAAAGTTTCTTTACTCTTTTATTTTCTTCAGTAATATCGCGTTTATTTGTTAGTTTCATTCTTTTCCTCTTTACGCTCAGAAACCATCTGACCTGTGCATTTTCGATAAGGAATAATCTATCCCAAAATGTCTCTCCATGGATTTACGTCATCCTATATCATTCTCTATTACTAAATCGGAGTGATATCTGACAAATTCGCGAACATAAATGGGATAATAGAGCGTAAACGCGGTCCTTTTTCGACATTTCGCACGTGTTCGTCCGATCCGATTTTGATACGTCGCTAACAATGCACCGACCCTGTAAATGCATTGTAAGCCGCAACGGGGTTACGCCTCTGAGCAAAATTATGAGATTTCGTCACGGATCTTTCCAGACTCTTTCCCGATGCTTATTACATGGATTCGTCGCAGATATTCCCCCAACAGTTGCGACGAGAGGGTGAGCTAACGCGAAGAACCAAAGCGTATATTAGATATTATAATCCAGCATGTATTCGAAATACATCTCTCAAACCGGTAATTAAAATTACCAGAAGAAGCTTTTCGATGTTAGCGTAAACAAAAATTAATAATCAAATCAAAGTTCGATTTCTAAAATCGAAAAATATCTTGAATATCTTCCACTTTTATCGTATTTTCTCTTACACGCAGATCTTCGGCATTGCGGCATCATCAGTTGCCTTTAAGAAAAACGCTTAACACGAGGAATTAAAATTTCACATAAAATTTCTATCCGCCACAGTTTCGCACTTTTGCGTCGTTCGGTTCGTATCTATCACGTCCATCTTCTATCTCTCGGTCGATACCTGAGATCAGCTCTCGCAATGCGAGTGGACCGTCGCAGCAAGCACCGCCCTACGAGAGATTCGAGGGGATGAGAAAACCCAATGTCGGGGCTGCAACGCGGCGCACGCGTTCCACGGCGAGCAATCTCCATGCATTCGGCGATCCTGGGGGGCGGTTACCTCGGGCTGTCCGCGAAATCTTCGAAAATGCATCCCGACGGGTCCGGCAGAAGAACGAGACGCTCGAGATCCGAAACGTCGCAGGACGAGACGTCGTCGTGCGCGGAAATATCCCTTTTTTTTAATTTTTTTCCATCTTGCCGAGTGAGCGAAACCTGGTGGTGCATCTACTCGTGCTGCTGGACAGGAAGCGGGATATGAGCTACACCGAACCGCTGTGGGAGATCAATGGAAATCAAGCACCAGTGAGTCCGAACCGAGTCCTGTACCGTGCGCGATGTGATTCACGGTGTCGCCGAATGTTTGTGAAATAAAAAAAAA